TGAAGCCACTTCCCTGGGAACCCTGCCCCAGCACTGCTATTGCAAACCAACAAGATTTCATCTTCCTTACACTGTGACCATGCAATAAAACTTCTAAACCATAAGCTGAAATGAATGTTCTTTTTCATTAAGTTGATTATTGTAGACATTTTATCACACTGATGTGTAAAACCAACTAACACAACAAGGTTAAGGTTTTTTAAAACAACGCAACTCTTAAGTTAAGAGTTAAGTTAAAAGTTAAATTAGAACCCATTCCAGACAACTAAAGACTAAAACCAGCCATGCAGAGCTTCACTACTTTGGATTTAAAGAAATCATATGAATCTTCCAAGGTACAAATGGAAAAACAATAGTAAAGAAATCCAAAGCCATAAGGATATCAAAACCAGCCTCCCCTCATAGAAAGAGAGGAGTATTCCCTGAAGACAAATTTTGGTAAAGATATAGGAATGGCCTACCAAACCTATGTTGGCCACAACCTCAAAAAAGAATGACTCTCCTAAAATTGATACGGGATCACATTGGGGGAGATATGTGGAGACTTGGAAGAGGCATGATCATACCATGAGAAGGAGAGATTGATAATGAGACGCTGCTGCAAAATACCAAAGGTTAGCATTTAACCATTGGAAATTTGAGACTTCTGAGCCACAGGATCCTGTGACTAATAAACCCTGCCCCACAGGTTGATTCTAAAGCTGAAACAGCAGAGCAACTGTGGATGGGCTCTATGATTGACAGGCCTCTGACAAGCCAAAAAACAGTTCAGTTCTGTCCCAAGGAATAGGGACTGAGTGGTACAGAATGGGAGGGTATGGAAGCCAGCACAAGTGAGTAGAAGGGCTAATTGGGGAACTGAAAATAGAATAAGTATGTGGGCACACAGGAGCTGAGGGAAGCAATACTCCAAGACAAGTTGACAATTGTTCTAAGAATCTTTTTATGCTTTCTGATAAATCGGATGCCTGAAGCTGTAGGGAGCTGCAGAATGCCGCACCCAAAAGATGGCGCCGGTTTCCGCCCTCCCAGCCCGACGGCGAGCGCTCTCTGTGGTAAACAACTCCAAATTTGGTAAAGGTCATGTATCCTCTTAATTCTGCTTGGAGACAACCTATCCTGGCGTGCCACGTAGGGTTAGGTGATTGGTAGATGTAGACTATATCAGGCACCGTCTCCCTCGGCCCGGGGCCCGCCGCCATTATACACTGTACCAAGCAAAGAGGTTCGCAACTCTTAAGTTAAGAGTTAAGTTAAAAGTTAAATTAGAACCCATTCCAGACAACTAAAGACTAAAACCAGCCATGCAGAGCTTCACTACTTTGGATTTAAAGAAATCAGATGAATCTTCCAAGGTACAAATGGAAAAACAATAGTAAAAAAATTCAAAGCCATAAGGATATCAAAACCAGCCTCCCCTCATAGAAAGAGAGGAGTATTCCCTGAAGACAAATTTTGGTAAAGATATAGGAATGGCCTACCAAACCTATGTTGGCCACAACCTCAAAAAAGAATGACTCTCCTAAAATTGATATGGGATCACATTGGGGGAGATATGTGGAGACTTGGAAGAGGCATGATCATATTTCATTGTGTACAATGAAAGTTATCAAATATTTAAAAAAATAAAATACAGGATGATTTTCTCCAACAGAGTATAGCAATAAGCTAAAAGCCCAGAATCCTGGAATGAACAGGAGATTTTCATAACTACAAATGTAGGAGGAAGAAAAAGATGGTAAGAACATACAGCAAGAGTGATATCTAAAAAGCTAAACAGTTCAAAACGTCAGTCATTGAGTTGTAAGCATATGACCCTAGTGTTGTCAAGCACAACTTTTTTGTATATAACCTTAAAATTCTGAATTTAGGAGATTATCTGATTTGTAAATGGTTCTACCTAATTAAAAACATTTTTTAAAACCTTGTATGGACCAATGTATCTGAAAGCTGAATGTGGTATATGTTCGATTTCTGTGACTATAATAAATACCTGAGGAAATTAACTTACCAAGAGAAAAAATTTATTTTAGCTCACAGCTTGGGAAGCTTCAGTCCAGGGTTGACAGGTCCAATTTATTTGGGCCTGTGGTGGGATTGTGTGGTGGAGTAGAACAGCTTATATCATGAGGCAAAAGTGAGAAAGAAGGAGCCACGGTTCCTTCCATAACAATGCTAAAGGGAGCACTTAAGTGATCAAAAGGCCATCTATCTTTTAAATATACTACTGCTTCCCAACAGTTCCACTCTTGGAAGCAAGCTTTTCACACATGGGCTGTTAGGGAACACTGAAGATGTAATTTCTATTGTAGTACAAACCACTAGAGTAGAGAGTGCAGGGCCTTGTCAATTAGATACACTTGGGTACTGGCCCAGGCTCTCTGTGTGTGCTTGGGAAGGAACTAAGTTAATAAGCCTCAGTTTTATTATATATAAAGTGTGATAATAATGTCATCAAACTGGTTTCCTGAGAAGATTGAGAGAAACTATAAAAACAGCTAAGAAGGGTGACATTTCCAATATAGAACGTTTAACATTGAAAACACAAATGTTAGTGGGAAAATGAGGGTAACCAATGACAAAGCAGACCATATCCACAAAATTTTAGTTCAGAATCTTAGGAACTAAACAGGTGTGTTCTTGGGTCAGCTGCTCCTATTGACTGTCACAGTTATAAATAAAGGGCCAAAGATTTATATGGTCTGAAAACTGCTGCTGAGGACCATGTCTGGGTCCGAGGCCCCATTGCAGTTAGGGTTTGCATGGATCCCTGAGGCTCCCATTACCACCCAAGGCAATGCAAATCCCCTGGTCCAGACCTTGCATAGTAAAGCTGGCCCTACCCCTAATACTAGAGATGTCTCCAAACACGCACTTGGAAATCTCACCCCACCCCTTCACCACATTCCTGAGAAAGATGACTCCACCCTTCACCTAAGAGGAGTGGTCTCAGTGCCTGGACCTACCAACTCAGCTGCCACCCAAGCTCACAGACAGGTCTTGGAGTCAGCACACCCCAATATCTATCCCACCTAGGATCTTCTGGAGTGTTTGAAGCAACTGATCCGATGGAACCATGGCTACAGGATCTCCATCACTTGGGACAACAGCAGGATATCAGAGAGGAATGTTGTTGCTAGGAACTAAACAGGTGTGCTCTTGGGTCAGCTGCTCCTCTTGACTGTCACAGTCATAAATAAAGGGCCAAAGATTTATATGGTCTGAAAACTGCTGCTGAGGACCATGTCTGGGTCCGAGGCCCCATTGCAGTTAGGGTTTGCATGGATCCCTGAGGCTCCCATTACCACCCAAGGCAATGCAAATTCCCTGGTCCAGACCCTGCATAGTAAAGCTGGCCCTACCCCTAATACTAGAAATGTCTCCAAACACGCACTTGGAAATCTCACCCCACCCCTTCACCACATTCCTGAGAAAGATGACTCCACCCTTCACCTAAGAGGAATGGTCCCAGTGCCTGGACCTACCAACTCAGCTGCCACCCAA